TCAGAACGTACATGCAAAAAAAATTTGATTTATTTGAAAGCTCTTGAGACACTGTGTGTGATTGCAGTCTTGTTACTACAGATTTGTACAGACTTTGCCATCTTTGCTAGGCTGAAATGGCTCAGCATCCATCTTGTTTCTAAGCCTGTTTGGGATTAATTAGCTAGTCGTTCTTGGGACTGTGGCTCCTGTAGACTGCCATCATTGCTACAGGGTATGTGAGTTTCTTCACATGTTGTCAAAACTCAGACATTTACAATCAAGAAGCATGCAGTGAAGTGCTGGGGTTGAGGAGAGGTGTTTTGAGCTCTATGTTTTGTGTAGTTGCTTGGTTGGCAGAGCACTAACCAACTTACTGAGTGGTTAGGCTCTAGTTGTGCCTGGGGATCTTCAAACACAGAGCTCCTTGTGTGCTAGCTGCGTGCTCTCAACACTAGGATGGAGCTATGTTCTGCACTTCCGATGAACCTCTGGTATATAAACACGAATGGAAATTTTGTATGGTTAGAGCATAAACAAGAAGCAGCAGGATCTGTCACCTGGGGAGGTGGGTATTCCTTTGGGAGGGCAAAATTCAGTCTTCAGGTCCCTGCTGCGTGGATTCTTTGTACATTTTGCATTCAGGGTCACCAAGTAAAGCGTTTATGGAGTAATGACATCAGGGACTTTCACTTCCCAGATGAGCGCTCCAAAAATGTGTCATGCTGCCACTTCCTCTTGTTACCATTGTCTTTTCTTTGTAAAGTCCTCTGTCCCAAAAAGAGTGCCTTAGTGGGCTTAATGCAGATAGAGGCCTTAATCTTCAAATCCCAGTTAGCGTAACTACTGCATCAAAGCTGCAGGTGTCTGCTTTAGTCATGGAGAGAGGCAGGATCACAGACACCCATCTTCGAAGTTTGCACTGGTGAGTGTAAGAACCATTCTGTATTGGCAGATGAGAAGTCTGTCCTGCGCAGCGCTCTGGTTGCAGCCCCTCACTTCCCACCTCAAGGGGGGCTGTAAGTTTCTTCCCAAAGCATTCTAGATTCCCCTGTACCAAGCAGTACCTAAGCTTCTTGGTAACTGCAGGATTGAGTGTTTTTTGAAGTACTGCTTTCCCCATGGTGTCTTCTGCAGCAAGATTTGTTTGGAATTTACAGGTCATAAAATTCACTCTCTGCATCCTTTTCTTCAGTATATGTTTAAAACCTTACACTCTTCATTGTTTCCTCTATCATCTTGATTATTACGTTATCAAATCTCTGTCTGAACTCCACCACTGTCCCTATCAGTAGCTGTGGTTATTGGAACTGCTCTTTAAATAATTTTGTCATAAAGTTGTGTATAGTAAAAGCTTTGCTGTTCAGGAATGATGTGCGTATTTCTCAGCCTCTGATTCAAGATACTTTGTTGTCTCGAAAATTCTGTTTTGTAGATAGTGCTGTCTTAGTCACACAACCTTCTTTGTCTGTGCCTTGAGAGGAATAAAAAAACAGTTATTATGGAGGTACTCTTCCCTGTTTGGTCTTTTAAGCCATTTTCTCCAGCTGTCTCTGTCTCTTAAGTGCCATATATGTAAGCTGGGATTATTTATGTTTTTTACACTGCTAGATACTTTGCATTCTGTTGCTATGATCTCCTTAAACTCTGTGTGTTGTCACTTGTAGCAGATATTAGCAAAGTTTCACAACAGTTTTATCTGTGGTCTGGTCTGTTTCTCAGAAGTTCTTGAAGGTGACCTTGGATGCGACACAGGTGGTTTTAGGAAATGTATTGGTAAGGTGGTCATTCTGGTTTCAATGATAGTCTTCTGAAGAACAGGTAGTCTTTAGGGGAAGTCCTGAGTTGTGATGACAGTACTTGTAACAATCTGAAGATTGACATGGTCTTCATTGTGTGAGAGATCCTAGAACCAACCTGAAAATTGTTTCAGCACAAAAATAGTTGCTTCTGCTGTGGACAGAATTATGCTTCTGCATTGTAGAGCTCTCTGAGCATCTTGAACATTACCAAGAACACTTTAAGTCTCATGAATGCAGATGTCACTCCTCTATTTCATCAGATACTTACAGTTTTCTGATGTGCCAGTCTTTTTGATTCAAGACAGACTTAAGGCCGTGAGAGATCTGACCCAGTTCATGAATGCCACTCCACTTTCAGGGTGAAATCGTCCACATCATATAGCAGAATGTATCTGCTTCCTTCTTCATACCAGACTATATCTCTGAGGCTCACAAACCTGTTTCATTTGGTTTTTGCACACTCTATGCAATTATATTCTCAGTTTATGAGTGAGAGTTTCTTTTCTTTTAGTTTTCAGACAGGTAGATAATTCTGGACAGTGTCTTTGGGAAAATATCCATTAAGTTCTTCTGTTAATGCAGATTGATTGTGACTGCCATGTCACTGTCAGGCTAGAGACTTACATGGGCAATCTGGTAGCTCGGGACTGTTGATCTCAGTAGAAAACTTATGAAGGATGTTCTGAAGTTCAGAGCTGTGAGAAACTCACAAGAGTATTTAAAGATTTGTTTTCACAATCATAACATTCAGACAGTGATGTTTACCGCCAGCAGGCTGTATGTGAGTGAGCCAAGTGCTGAGATTGCTTTACCCTGCAGAAATGCAGAATACTGTTGAACTGGCTTCAAATTCATTTGGCAGGGAAGCAAAATAGTCTTGCAGGTGGTAGATTGAATTATTCCTCTGATCTCCATGAGTAAACTCCAATTCAGTAACTAGAGTTGGGAATGGGGTTGCTTTGAGGTGGACCTATTTACATCAGATGGCATCAAGAAATGGCAGATTTTTTTCTCTCTTACCATCCAGTGCCTTGGATCAGACACGATCCTGGTCATAGAGAAAGGTGTAGACTTTCCTTCTGTTTCGTAAATACTGATCACGGTCAGGCAAGGTAGTAACTTCCCAGGCCTTGAAGGTTCTGGTGTCTGGAGGTTATCTGTCAGCTGTCTCTCACTGAAGAGTTCAAGAAATATATTCCCCTCCTAGATCTGTGACTGAGAAATCTGAAGCATTAGGGAGTTTCAGTGTGCTTCGTTCCAAGCCCTAAAATACTGGACAGGAATGTCATTTCTTGTTTCTGTGGTGCTGCCCCTTGCCACTACTTCAGGTTAGGAGGTGTAGATAGATAGTCAGACAAGAAGCTGGGCTTAAAATAGAGCAGAAATCTTTGTAAACAAAAATACCATTTGTAATTTATTATTTGTTTTAATTAAGGAAATATACATGTAATGAGATTCTAAGAGTCAGCCATGTGCGGTATCCATTGCAGGTGTTTGATCTGGAGTTAGAAATAAAACAGCCCTTTGTAGGGTTATTCACTTTTACTGCTCTCTTGAGAACCTGTGTAAAGGAAACTCCTCTGTCATTAAAGGTGCAAGACTTGTATGGTTGATTAATTTTCTCAAACACGGAACAGCAAATATTAAGTCTGCTTTACTAATCATTGTTTTCAATGAAAGGCTTATAGGATGCTTATAAATTAAATTACAAGAACAGAATTCTGCATTTTTAATTTAATTAAATTAAACATACAGCACATATGCCCTGAACTGGAAATGCATTCTGTATTGCATGGTTTTTATTTGAACATCTGTTCGGCATAGCAGTAATTTAAAAGTTTTCTTTCCCTCTCCCTTCAGCCATACAAGCAATCCTGATTTGCACTGGAACATAGTTCAGATGGAAAACTATTAGAGGGAAAATCAACATTCTTTTTGTATAAAGCTGGAAAAGTAATTTTTTTAAGCCGTGCTGAAATGTAAGAAGAACACTTCTAAACAGGCTATCTAACGTAAAAAGATTTATTATTTTGGACTAAAAGTTAGCATGTCAAGACACATGACACTTTAAAAAAACATTTTTTCAATCTCAGAAAATGCAGATAATGAAAGCACATGGTTTTCTTAAATTCGATGCATTCTCATGAAGTTGATTATGCTTAAGTCATCTGTTACTGATTTATTTGCACTTGTTTGAATTAATACAAGCAGCAAATAGAGGTAGCTGAATGACATTCTTTTTTCTTTTAATGGCTTATATATCCATTTTCCTACCCAAGCTTTCTCTAGTAAACTAAGACCTCTGAGTTATTTAATTGTTTTAAGAACAAAGGTGAATCACTTTTGCTTCCCTTCCTGACCAGGTCTTGCATTTTCCATTCAAGTTCTTTCTAATGATACACTGCTTCTTTGGAACCAGTTGAACCTTAATCCTCTCAGACAGTTCCCTCCTAAGTCACTGTTGTTATTTCCTGAAACTCAGAACTTGCAGGGAACTGTATCTGCTGCAGTCCAGTCACCTGTGTTTCAGTGTAGCTTCTTGAGACTACTGTGGATGTTTTCCTAGTACAGGGGTGGGATGCATGCGTCTGTGCTTTGGGCAGTCTGTGGGAAGAGCATGGATGGGTGCAGTAGGGAAGGGAGCTATCCATAGTAAGTGTTGTTAACGTCTCGTATACTTAGATTAGGACCATGTCCTATGGATTTTATGTAGTTAATTGTGTATTAATGTTTCTCTGGTCTTCATGAGCACCCTGTCGGCATGATATCAAAGCATTATATTCTGTACTGACAAAGTTCAGCAAGTGTCTGTAGGACTGTAAAAGGACTCAGAGGAAAGCTTGGTTCCTACTGCCTTGGCTGTAGAACCCCTTATCTCTGTAAGTTGGTTATTATCAATAAAATAAAATGCATTTATACAGCATTATTGTTTCATTAGCATCCAAAAGTCGCTTTAGTTTTATGTTCATATAAAATATTAAAAAAAAAGACCCTGGAAGATTATTTAGATAGGCAAAACCAAATATTAAGCCATTATTAGTATTAGTAATAATTTGTGATGATTCCAGTAAGAATTTCCGTCCTACTGGTCATTGAACAGGTGCTAGACCTTTTTTGAACTGCTTTACAAACTTTCAGCTATAAGTTGAAATGTATTTCAGTGTTGAGCAAAATCATACTGATACATGTTTTCTTTCCCCTCCCCTTGTTTACCAGGATGGTACGAAACAAAAGCGAGAGCGGAAAAAGACTGTGTCATTTAGCAGTATGCCAACTGAGAAAAAGATCAGCAGTGCGAGTGACTGTATAAACGCGATGGTTGAAGGCTCTGAGCTCAAAAAGATTCGATCCAACTCTAGGGTGTACCACAGATATTTTCTTTTAGACGCAGACATGCAGTCTCTACGCTGGGAACCTTCCAAAAAGGATTTGGAAAAAGCAAAGATTGATATCAAATCAATCAAAGAAGTAAGAACAGGAAAAAATACAGATATTTTTCGAAGCAATGGAATATATGACCAGATATCAGAAGACTGTGCATTTTCAATTATATATGGAGAGAACTATGAATCACTAGATCTTGTTGCTAACTCAGCAGACATTGCAAATATTTGGGTTACTGGCTTAAGATACCTGATTTCTTATGGAAAACATACTCTAGATATGATAGAAAGTACTCAAGATAATATGCGGACTTCATGGCTTTCACAAATGTTCAGTGAATCAGATGTAAATAATTTGGGACATATACCCCTGTGTAATGCTGTACAGTTTATAAAAGACTTGAATCCTGGTTTAAAGACTAATAAAATTGAACTAAAATTCAAGGAGTTACATAGATCCAAGGAAAAAACTGGTACTGAAGTTACAAAAGAAGAGTTTATTGAAGTTTTTCATGAGCTTTGTACCAGACCTGAAATCTATTTCCTGTTGGTTCAGTTTTCAAGCAATAAAGAATTTCTAGATACCAAGGACCTCATGATGTTTTTGGAAGCGGAACAGGGTATGGCACACGTCACTGAAGAAATAAGCCTTGAAATAATTCAGAAATACGAGCCAGCCAAAGAGGGACGGGAAAAGGGTTGTCTTTCTATAGATGGGTTTACAAATTACCTTACTTCACCAGACTGCCACATATTTGATCCAGAACATAAAAAAGTTTGTCAAGATATGAAACAACCTTTATCTCATTATTTTATAAATTCATCTCATAATACATACTTGATAGAGGATCAGTTTCGAGGGCCTTCTGACATCACAGGTTACATTCGTGCTCTTAAAATGGGTTGTCGAAGTGTTGAACTGGATGTATGGGATGGTCCAGATAATGAGCCTGTGATTTACACAGGTCATACAATGACATCGCAGATTGTCTTCCGTAGTGTGATTGATATTATTAACAAGTATGCATTTTTTGCTTCAGAATACCCTCTTATTTTGTGTTTAGAAAATCATTGTTCTATTAAGCAGCAGAAGGTGATGGTACAACACATGAAGAAGATTTTGGGGGACAAACTACATACACAGTCTCCAAACATTGAAGAGTCTTATCTTCCATCACCAGAATCGCTTAAAGGGAAAATACTAGTTAAAGCAAAGAAGCTTTCTTCTAATTGTTCTGGACTAGAGGGAGATGTTACAGATGAAGATGAAGGAGCAGAAATGTCACAGAGAGTAGGAAGAACAACAAAACTCGATGATGGGAAAACGATTTCAGCTCTGCAAAGAACTCTCTGAGTTGGTAAGCATATGTAAATCAGTTCAGTTCAAAGAGTTTCAGGTTTCATTTCAGCTCCAGAAGTACTGGGAAGTGTGCTCGTTTAACGAAGTGCTTGCTAGCAAATATGCCAATGAAAACCCAGGAGACTTTGTAAATTATAACAAACGTTTTCTTGCCAGAGTTTTCCCCAGTCCTATGAGGATTGACTCTAGTAATATGAATCCCCAGGACTTTTGGAAATGTGGTTGTCAGATAGTAGCAATGAACTTCCAAACGCCTGGCTTAATGATGGATCTTAACATTGGTTGGTTTCGACAAAATGGAAACTGTGGCTATGTCCTTCGTCCTGCTATCATGAGAGAAGAGGTATCCTTCTTCAGTGCAAATACGAAAGACACAGTGCCTGGAGTTTCGCCTCAGCTGCTTCATATTAAAATCATTAGTGGGCAAAACTTTCCTAAACCCAAAGGATCAGGTGCCAAAGGTGATGTTGTGGATCCTTATGTCTATGTTGAAATACATGGCATCCCTGCGGACTGTGCGGAGCAAAGGACGAAAACTATGCATCAGAATGGAGATAATCCAATTTTTGATGAAAGTTTTGAATTTCAAATAAATTTACCAGAACTAGCTATGGTGCGTTTTGTAGTACTGGATGATGATTACATTGGGGATGAATTTATCGGGCAATACACTATTCCCTTTGAGTGTCTACAGACTGGTTATCGACACGTTCCTCTGCAGTCTTTAACTGGTGAAATTTTAGCACATGCTTCCTTATTTGTGCATGTAGCCATTACTAATCGAAGGGGTGGTGGGAAACCTCATAAGCGGGGCCTCTCTGTGAGGAAGGGCAAGAAATCAAGGGAATATGCTTCTATGAGAACACTATGGATTAAAACGGTAGATGAAGTGTTCAAGAATGCTCTCCAACCTATTCGGGATGCCACGGATTTGAGAGAAAATATGCAGGTACAGTTTTTATGATGAATTTATCAGTTTTTATGTATAATTTTTATTATTATGCATATGGCGTATGTGTTTTTTAGAGCTGTGCTGTGTTTTCTAAGTTACGTTAATAAAATCTAATGCTGAACAGCTTTAAATATGGATGCGAGAGCAGCCTTTTAGGTGGTGCTGACCACTGAAGTACTTGGGTGCATATGCATGTTTTGTTGAATGTGAACTGGAAATATGTCTCTAGTGTTAGAACTCAAGCCTGTTGATTACTCACATGTCTTTGAAGGAATATTATGTATGTTAGAGGAAAGTATGGCAATATTTTAGTTTTCGAAAATTAAGTTAAATAGAAATGCAGGAGGCAAATGTAGCTCATAGAAAGAGGAGACTTCACTGCATATTAAAAAAAATTCTGTCCATTAAAATATGTTTAGCACAGGTTTTATTTTTTCCTTATTCCCAACAGAAGACAGTACTTTCAGAATGACCATTTGCTTTCCATGATCCTTCCTAGCAATGGAAGAAGTTACCTTACTTTAAAGGTCACATTTAGTAAATATATTGAATTTCAGGGAAAAGTACAGGCTGAGGTGTGTGGGGTTTTTTTTTTTTTTTGTGTGTGTGTTTGTTTGTTTTTTGTTTTTTTTTTTGTTTTTGTTTTTTTTTTACCTCAAGCTGTAGAACCCAAGAGATCCCACATCAAAAATTTTGGAGGGCATTTTTTGGAGATTCTAGTGAAGATTCCAGGTAAATAAACACTTGTGGATCTAGATTAAAGTGAGCTGTACAGTTTTATTTTATTTAATAAAGCGTTTAACTGTCTATAAACTTCTGATGGAATACTAGCAGTGATAAATAGAATTCAGTATAATAATTTCAAATGAAATGACCTATTAAATCATCTTACTCTTACATAATATTAAGGGGAAACTGATTAGTGGAAATGTCTGAGACTTGATTCTGGATTTTAAAGGCACATAAGTGTAGATAAATTTTCTTCATGAATAGTCTTACGTTGAAGAAATTTTAATAGTAATACAGTTTTAAAACTAGTTTTTCTTTGTATGAAAGAAGATACTGGTACAGCATTATGAAGCACTCTCATTCCACTTGGTGTATAAAATCGCTATACTAAAAGATTATTAAAAAATATGGGGGTGATAGTTTGGCTTATATATGTTTCACATTATGGGCTACACATGAAGTGAACTTTACCTGTAGTTAGCCTATTGAAGGCTAGAATTCTGTCATATAAAGGATACTGTATTTTAAGATACCTTTCAAGGAAGAACTGAAGCTAAGATTTGAGGAAACAGTGAAAACATAGTTTTCGTAGCTACTTTAAACTTTACTGTGCATGCTGCAGTGTTTTCCAGAACTGATATAATGGAAAACAGGCTCTATGGTGTGGTTTCTTTGAACATGAGGTATTAAAAGGTACTTTATGATTTTGCTCTGTTAATTTGAAAGTTGTGCTGTCAACTAAATTCATCATTATTATCTCTCAAAATGCTATGAAGAAGATACTTTGGGTAGATGAGTGAATATTAGTTTTGCATAGTTTTACTGATGGATTATATAATGTGCACAATTTAAACTCTGTAACAACAGTTTTACAGTTAGTAACTAAACCACTCAATTAAAATTAATATCAATGTATGGGAGGGAGTGTGAGATTTGTTTAATTTCTATATTAATGAAATTTTGCATTATAAATTATTATGATTTTTATGATACAGAAATAATGTCCCCACGAGACAGATTATAAAGGGCAAAGTTGTTTTTTTAATATAAGAAAGAAAAAATATAAAAAAGAAAGTGTGCAACAGTGAGTTCAATGGTTTGTCTAAATCTGTGTACAAACAGCTGTCCTTTTTTCTTCCTTGTTAGATACTACATTACAGTGACAAAAACTGATGTCATAACTTGTTAGATATTAATCACTGATAAAAATATAACATGAGCGATTAAACTGGATGTGATGGCTGTAGTTCTGTCCTGCCTGTTAATTAGTTAATATGTATATTCCCTGGGTCCTTGTTAACCTCTCTGTGTAAAATTGTTCATAATGGCTTACCCATGATGTTTATCTCAAACAAAATGCATTTGAATGAACTTCCCAATGTCTGTATTTTGAACTGTGTAATTACTGTCATTAAGGTGTAGTCCAGTTAATAAAAGTAGTTTCTGTTTCCTGGACATTTACTAATGCTACTAAACATTTACTTAAAGTACACTGGAAGTGACTGTAGTAGGTGTAATTTAGTATTCACATAATTTTGCATGAATATGTTATATATGCGTATTTTGAAGTCTACTTCAGGTATTTTGTCTCATAAAGGGACAGCAAAATATTTCACATTTGATTCCTGTTTGCATTAAGGTTGGCATTATGTCTCTCTAAGAAGTTTATCCACAAATGGGTCTTACCATGCCAGCAAAACGGAAAGTGGTTTTGGTTAAAATAAAAATCTGTGTCCTAAAACTCAGACACTCAGCTTGGATAAGATGTGAGAGAAAGGAGAACTGAGCACATTTGTAGCTTAAGTATACCATGTTTTTTGTTTTTCTTACAGGAACACAAACTCCAGACCTGCCATAGGTCACCAGCTCCCACTTGGTACAAAAATCCTAAATTTGTAACAGTGTTGAGAATATTCCCATCATGGAATTTCAGTGGCTACTTGGAGTCGTATTGTATTTCTAATACTGAAAATTTTATTCAACTTTAAATGTATAATTTTATATGCTACCATATTGGATATAAAGTACAACTATAATAAATTTTAGGGAAAGGTACAAAATTGTTTTTTTATATTAAAGTACCTTAAAAATTCGCTTAAGTATGATTCTGTGATAGGAATGACACAGGTAGTGGAGTGCTGGGTTTGTGAGGCACACCAAATGGGAGCCAGCAGATCCACAGCATGTCTGGACTGTAGTTCGGGTATGTTTAAAGTTACAAATGGGCTGAATTCCTCTTTCCACTTCACTTTGCTTATTTGAGGCATTGAGCACCTAATATTTTGTTTCTCTCAAAGGCGTTTTAAAAATTGCTTAGAAATGTCTTTTAGAATTTTTCAGGATATATATCCAGTATGTTTTAGAATTCATTTATTTGCATGGTTAATTTGAGTATGAGTACGAGACCAGACATACTTGTTCTAAATAGATTTTTCCTGTGCCAAGTATTGAATCCTGTTTGAATTTTTTATATTTTTGGCAAAATGTGTGTGTAATATTGGTTACTTTGGGAAACTGCTAATTCTTCAGGGAAAAGCTGTGGTAATTCCATGTTGTAGCTCAAATGTAACAGTGAAATATTTTACCTGAAAGAATGAGACATTAATATTGATATTTAACTGTAAAGGAAACTCTTTCTTTCCTTTTTGCAGAATGCAGTAGTTTCATTCAAAGAATTATGTGGCCTCTCTCCTGTAGCAAATCTTATGCAGTGCATTTTGGCAGTGTCTACACGCTTGGTTGGGCCTGATAATACACCCTTGGTAGTACTGAATCTCAATGATCAGTATCCGACTATGGAGCTCCAAGGGATTGTTCCAGAGGTCTTGAAAAAGATTGTAACAGCATATGACATGGTGAGTAGTCCTTTGTGGTTATTTTATATGCTATTTGAAAGACTTTATTTTTATAATATACAGTACTGTGCCTGTTTTGAAAGGTCATTTTAACCTGTGACTTTCCTATTTTGTGCTTTGTTATGTGTGCTTGAAAGTCATTCCCATGAATTTACAGCAACTGATGGTGTTTTCATATTGGGTAAAACATAATGGTTAATACACTGCATGCAAATATGTGTTTGTACACTTCAGAAGGCAAAGTAGTTGCAATCAAGAGGATTTAACATGAAGAGGATATGTTAATTCACCTGTTCTGTAGTAACTCTAAACTTTTTGCATATCTATAAACCTCTTACATTAATATCCTACTTTACATTTTCCAGTTTGTGGACCTTGATTTCTTTCGGCTTTGACTCAACATAGAATAGAAAAATGTCAGGAACTGCTTTTAATTTTAATTTTATAAGCAACTTGAAGTGTTAAATGCTACACACTCTTTTTCATTTTCCATTGCTATATCTTTCTTATAGATCTCATTTGATTAGGCATTTTTATATCTGTAAGCAGATGTAATGTTAACATCAGCCTTATACTTCAGTAAGTACATAAATTGCCTTTTTAGAGACTGGAAATTAAATATTTTGCAAGAAGGAAGGAAGAACTAATACACTGAGAAATACCTGTTTACATCTGCCTTGCATTAATTTAAAGTACAGAAGAAAGATCCAGATGAGTGTGATTTGAAATGTCCATCTTACTTCCACTGAAGTAATCTGGCACGGAGTAATTTTGCCTTTATTTTTTTATTTAACTATTTCTTTAATTTGGAAATTTCTTTAATAAGGAAACATTTCTAGGATAATTTTGCATGAATTTTGTGCACTAAAATGAGAAACCTCAACTGGCAGGATCAAGTTCCTGTTTTAAAAACAGTCCTTGCTATTTAAAGAAAGAAAATGAAGGGAAAGAAACCATAGATATCGTATATATCTTATAAACTGCTTTCTAAAGACAAAGTAGCTTTAGAATAATGCTATACCAGAATCCAAAAAGCACTCATTGGTAATTAGCAATTTAGGTAGAGTTTATGAAGTTGAGTGATGATGTAAATACAACAGAATTTAATTGGAATACTAGCACAGTTAGAAGAAAGTGGTATATCTCTTAGTGGTAGCTTATAGGATATCACTATAATCAGGATGCAAACAGGCCTGATTGTTGGGATTACACCTGTAACATGTATGTAATTAAGTTCTGTCTTGTTGGAGGTGTCTCTACCTGCAGTTTGTTCTGATACGGTGATGCTGCTTGTTAGTTATTAAGCTATTCCAGATAATTAAAATCTTTGTGTTGTCTGAATTAAATATTTTGTTTGAATGTCACTTAGAGGTGACTTATAACTCCAGAAATCTTTACAATCCAAATTTGGTTTGCTCTTTGTCTTTCACATACATTTTTCTCCCCAACATCCTGTAGTCTACACATGATTTGAATATTTGTTTACTTTAGAAATCAATAGAATATTTATTTAGTGGCATGTTCAAAGCATTTTTCCATCTTCTCTTGCTTAAGGGATCAAGACTCAATTTCATACAAAAGCAAAGAGTATGATAGTGCTTCTAGCTCTAAATGGTATTGAAAATAAGTAAAAATTAACATTATTTTTGTCAAATAAAAGTTGTAAATTAAAATAATGAGATGCATTTCAATTTGTGGAAGTTTGGTCTTGCCAATACTCTTCTCCAGTTTGACAAAAGGTGTGAAGCAATTAAAAGCTGTAGGGCATGCTGAAAAATTAAGTCAGCCATGGGAGCCATACTGATAGCTCTTGTTTCGGAAGTCACATTATGAAGCAGTGGGAGACATCCATGTTATCTTTCACTCAAGAAGAGGAAAATAGATGCGAAGCCATTTAGCTCATATACTGGTATTTGCTATAGTGGCAGATGTTTAGAGTGATGCTATCATAGATAGTGTTTTTTTTGTGTGGCTTTGGTGTCAATTAATATAGTGAGCCCTCAAAATGACACATTTAATATTAATGGTTGGTTTTGGCTTGGGGATTTTTTTGGCATCAATAATTAGAAGTGGGTGTAAAATTCAGCTTACTAATGAGAAGCCTTATCCAGAATTACGAAAGGGTAGATGTACTGTTGAAGTAACTTGTCCTATTTTCTGTTGGCTTGGGCCTCAATATAGGTCAAAATGATGTAATTATATTCTTCCAGTGTGTCAAGTACTGTGAGTATGAAATGATGTTGATAACTGAGATTGTGTTAAATGTTTATTAAATAAACTTTGGTTAGTACCATAAATGCATAGACTGTCATTACCATGTGTGCATTCTCAATGTGGCACACGTGATATTCTCAAAGTTCCGCTGTTTCAGAATCACAGTATGTTTGGCTAATAAAGGTATTCTTATTTGTCAAAAATACTTTCCTTTTTGTAAAATGATAATAAACATAGAAATATGCAGCCAAGATTTTTAGTTATTCAATATTAGTTTACATTGGGAGTGCAAAGTGAGAAAGGATGTAAGACCTTGACAGTGGAACAGTCAGTCCACATTGACATAGTTACAGCAGAGTGCAATACTGCAGCGGCACATGGAAAGGTGAGAATATCTTCAGTGTAGCACAGGTACATGTATTTTTTAAAGAAACAGTGAGACAAATTATAATTTGTCATATCACTGATACTTGGGTTTTTTACATGTAAACAACACATAATGCTTTCTTAAATTGTCAGCGTTCACTATTACATTAGAGGAGGAGATATAAGTGATAAAGGCTAGTACTATTCATAGGTTAAAATACTGTCTTTTTTAATTTAATGATTAATTTATCACCAGCATTATTGGAAGCAGAAGTTTACCCAGGAAATAAAAGGATCTTTTGCTTTTATCCATGTTGTAGGAGCTGGGGTGTCTTTTCAGAATAATGAAAAACAAATATAACGAGGAATTTTTGAGAAAGACAGAAGTTTAAGTTGTGTGTTTTTCTCTAGCTTCTTCATGCTCCTGAGTATATTCCACTCTAACATCTTTTCACTGTTTAACAATGTTTTATTTTTCCCTCTCCTTCATGAACTTCAGCTTCCTTTATGTGATACTTCATCATACACTCTGTTGGTGTCATCACACCCATCACTGATCAGTGCTGCAGACTGAAGCTTGGAGTTAAGGCAAGTGCCTCTTCCACACCATTGCATGTTTTTTTTTCTTTTTAAATGTCCTATGACCTTTAAGATAAACAGTAACTAAACCATAAAATGTTATGCTATGGCAAGAGAGAAAAAAATTTTCTCATCCTAAGTCTGCAGCATTACTCAGTGGTGAGTATAATAGCACTGCAAAGATATGCTAGAGGATCATAAAAATGAAGCTAGATATTGCTGAGAACTTGACTTTCTCTGTCTGCCCTTAGTGGAGGATGAAGTGTCCCATCCCGTCTGATGAAGATAAGGTCTTCTGAACTTTGCAAGCAAGCATTTACTTCTAAGAGGAAAGCTAACACAGAAAAGGCAGAGAACTGTACCTGTGTGAAACAAGATAAAGTAATGCTGCTACAGTAATAAGGATTAAATGCTATTAAATCCTAATTAGATAATGCTGCTAGATCCATTTTCCCCATGGTTTCTGGTGGTGTGTTTTGTTATTTTTTTTAAATGTTGAGGTTATGTTGTAATTCAAAATATCTGCAGACTACAGGATAGGAAGTCTGATTCAAATGGAGTCCAATAAGATAAATAGATTTTGTATGCACACCCTAGGGATAAGGTCGAGAGCGGGGCTGTGTTTATTGGTGGTAGGAGGTGTGAGATCATGAAAATGAGAGGTATTAAAAGACAGCAAAGCTAGTAAACTGGAAAGCACCACGTAACTGGTGATTAGTAGCTCTATAGTAAGCTTAAATCCAGTTACCTTATTGTTGGCTCATTTCAGCTACTGACTCAATAAACAGACTGCATATGCAATCATGTGGAAGTTAACTTCATGTTATGGAGTTGCAAATTTGGCTGATGGCATAAATTAAATATGATAGCCTATATTTTGAACTTGAAAAGGTCCATCCAGTTGGGAATTAGATAGTTTGACACTATACCTTGAAGAGTTATAGACTGGACTGTTACTAGTAGAGCTTGTTAAAAGACTGTCTAAAAAGGATGGATCAAGGTTTTGGTAAATTTGGTAAAATTATAGTAGTCCTCTCATACTTCAGCTGCTGCTCAAACCCCTAAATGCTCTTTACCTTTAAAATTAATCTTGAAAAACTTTCTTCTAATCTCTAACCTAAACCTCCCCTGGTTTTAAACAAAGACAGGGGAGGTTTAGGTTAGAGATTAGAAGAAAGTTTTTCACACAAAGGGTGGTGGCACACTGGAACAGGTTGCCCGGGGAGGTCGTGGATGCCCCATCCCTGGAGGAATTCAAGGCCAGGCTGGATGTGGCTCTGAGCAGCCTGGTTTAGTGATTGGCGGCCCTGCATATGGCGGGGGGGTTGAAACTAGATGATCACTATGGTCCTTTTCAACCCAGGCCATTCTATGATTCTGTGATTCTATGATATCAATATAGATGAATGGGGTGGGACACTTTTGTGTTGGACATGTTGGAATGAAGCTCGTAATTCTGAAGGAAGCAAAGAATACTTCCATTGCCTCTTTCACAGGGCCTAAAAAAGAATGATTAGCAGATCTGTTTTGAGTTATGCTTAGCTCATAACATCTGTATTAGTTACCTTGTTGTTGATGTAGGTCCTTGGTTGTGGTTACTTTTCAAATACATTAAGAGGTATTTCAGTCATTATGCTGTAGTTATAGAATTGTATCTTGAGAGACCAAGTAGATGCAGACTTTTCCACTTCATCTCAGCTTCTTATGTGCCAGAGTTATTCAGGTGAGAAGCCTTTGTTCTACAAATTACCCTTTGAGGTTGCAAACTTCTGGGATAACCAAAAAATACTAAATCCAGTGCTGGTAATAACCAAATTGTCTCCTAAAACATAGTGAGTGAA